TGTGCCGCAGACGGAAATGTTCGTACTACCAGGCGGAAATCACGGAGGAATATTGCCGATTAAGCCTTGGCCTGACAACGTCTTATGCCAATTGGGGGTATCCTGAGAGGGGGTTGCTATCAAAAACCCCAAATCTTTGCATCCAAATTTCTCAATGATCGCCATCATGCATTGCAGGCACCATCTATCGATGCACGGACAGACGCTGCGCCAATCAGCGTTGCCTGATCAGATAAGTGACTATGATGTTATCGTTGGATACAATTCCTTCACTGGTTGAACTCAATTCATGAGGTAAAATAATACAAATTCTTATTATTGTCGAAGGTGCTATAAACCAAATCATTAAACATGCATTATAATCAACAACACGATAAAAACATTATGTCATTACAAAACACCCGCGGAATTTTACTACAATCGAATGATATAATAAATAAATGGTTTAATTATAAGCGGGCATCGGCATTAATACATATATTGGCTTATGTTCAGAATGGCTTTAGTTATCTTTATCTTTGTACCTGCATCTTTTTATTTGTTGGGGCGCTTGGATATCGTTAGTGTTACAAACATAATTTTTTTTTTTTGCCAATTCATTTTTCAATAGTAAGAACATATAAATAAAAGACACTCCATTATAGTTTACAAACTTGGCTTTATTGAATTGTGTAATACTTTCCTATCTCTGCTATAGTTTTGAACGCCATGCATTGAAAACAGAGTAGGACAATGAAGTGAACTTATAAAAGTTTCACTTTTTTTTTCATTTGCTTCTAATTCAAACCCAGAACGTAATTCGACTACCAGTTTCATCCCATTTTTGCACATATTATGATCAACAATCTTCGCTATCTTTTGCTGTTTGTTCCTATTTTTTGTTCTTTTACTAGAATTTGGGCTTCTAATTATACAGTGCAAGTGTACAAAGAAATTGACGGTCTTCATTTCTCCGAGTCCGCCTTCCGCATTAATAATGGCTTTACGTACCCAAACGGCACAGGGTTAATGCAATTAGTCAGTCCTGGAGATAACAACTTGTATATACGTCTGCTAAATCTAGATGGCACATTGACGCCTCTTAATGTGTCGTTAGATTGTAATTCCTATTGCTTAAAGCATGCTTACCCACTTAATGATGGATATGTGTTTGTAATTGTAACACAAAGTGAAAAAAAAAGTGTGTATGGAATGTTGATTGATTGGAGTGGGCAGGTATTGCAAAGGTAAAAGAGTCAGGAACCAATGAGAAAAGTGGTGATTGGGTAGATAAATCATTGTAGATGTATCGTTGAATTAATACATAATACAATATATTTTGATAGCAATATAACGCTTACTGGTATTGCTGACTACGATTATCGTTATCTGACATCAAATGCAAAAGCTAACGTCGACCCAGATACGGATTTTATTGTAGTAACTGGAGACAGGGATACAGTTTCATGGAAAATTTTCAACGCTCCGTAAGTGTAGTGTTAGTATTTAAAATTACCATGACATTCTTTTTCGGCTAGTTCATGCGTATTGGCCCCCTATTTCAAAATAGGAATAGCACGGGTATAACCGAATTGCACAATGGCATTCTGGGAAATGATGACAAAATTCTGCAAGGTTACGAAATCTTTCCCACTACAGAAGGCGGTTATGGCATAGCCCTTTTAAAAAGTGTATCAGCATTTACTCAGGATCCGCGCATCTCTCAAACATTTTCCTCTTCGCCACAATGGCTTTTATATGTTACATTCTGGCAACCCGATTCTTCAGAATTCGACACGCCTCGTATAGTCTGGCAGAACCCCAACCCACTCGCTATCTCATCGATAATTGGGTGCGAAGTAGATCTCGATGGATCAGGATACTTTTGTCTTGTACTTGCGCCTGCAGGCAACGCTTGGGAATACGTGAGAGTGGCATTCCTATCTAGTGGTTCTGTAACCGATATTAACGTGGTGGTAGTGAATGATGCAAATAAAACGACAATGCATGGAATACGGCAACTGCCATATGGCGGATTTCTGTCTATAGAACAGATTACTGAGGCCACGATAAAACGTTATGACGTATCTGTCAGGAATAATGATGGAACAATTAGACAAACCTTTGAGTTGCTAGACGCCGTCGGTGATTTTGCTGTATTTCCGAATAACACAGTGTGGATAGGAAATCTGGTGTCAACAAACTTATCCGTAACTTCTATACCCCTTCCTAAACATTTTGAAGAAGGTGAGCTGTAATTCTTACAATTCATAGTTTTAAACGAGTATTGTTAAATATGGAATTATTGACCGCGTGTTTTTCTTACTTTCAGATGCTGGATTTAAGAATCCTCTTGTAAAGTCATCAGATCCGGCACCGAGCTCGCATGTGCGTTCAGATATTCTAGAACTTTTAACACTGAATTTCACAGATCCGGTCACTCTTTCGGAACAAAACATTTCAATTTACCAAATGACAAATGGAAATCGTATTCTCAGACAGGGATTTAGTGCAAAATCTAATTTGTGTTCTTCGCCTGAACAAAATGACTTTGCAATTCGATGTAAAATATTCAAGAGCACTTTCAACCAACGCAATGCTACATATTACGTAGTTATGGATAATAATTTTGTAATGAGTAAGAGTTTGAAACAGCCACTTACCGGAGTAACAATGGGAAATTGGGTGTATTATGGAGGTATGCAGTTACAAATAGAAAATGTTCTCTCAGTTATCGAATATTCGTTTGCTTATCAGCAATGTTATATTTATTAGACAAAGCCGAAGGCAAATATACAGGTATGGCATCAATGTTAATGTGACTTATGAATGTGTGCATGCACATCTGACTGATAGTTTATCCCTTCTAATATATGTAAATAGAGACCACAACAGGTCTTCTAAGGTTGACACCTGAAGGAACAACTTTATTTGAACAATTATCTGCCGATAATAAGACCTCTTTCCTAGACTCTCTGGTTGCAAAGATTGCTGAACTTGTCCCTGTTGACCTATCACGCATAACCACCAACAGACACAACCAACCTGATCCTAATGCACCAGCTTATCAGATATTATTTCCTGTCACCCTCAAGTCAACTAATGATCAATCACAGAGAACAGTACAGCAGATTATTGGTGATCTTGATGATTTAATTAAAAACAAGTACTATAACGCGTTTTCACATGAGTACCCTACTAGTTACCTAGATGAAACGTATGGGTTTGTACGTACCGGTATGCAAATTATGAGGTTTAATCTTCGTTTTATTGTTCCGAAATATTATAACGAGTGAAAACTAATACACTTACAATGGGCTTGTCTAGCCAATTCTTGGGAAGTTTACAAGTTTAAACTAATCGGGTTGTTTGCTGGTATCTTGGTACTATTAATAATATACTTTTTTGCAAGATGGAAATATCCAGAGGTGAGCCATCCTATATACATTTAGTACTATTGCTGTTGCTATTTTACAAAATGTCACAAATGTTAATATGTGAAACCATTTTCACCAGGGTCAAAGTTTTCATATTGTAAAGATTGCACTAATACTCGCAGATCTGAGTCTTGATGTAGCATTTGTACTCTTAAGTGCAAAGAATGTTCCAAAAATACATATACCAAGGTATTAGTATCATCATTTAGTCTATGACTATGATATTGCTTCAGATTAGATTCATCAATTATGCAATTTTGTACTATTTCAGCATAATCTTTTTAATAGTTCCTATTATCATTAATTCCGGTCTGGCATTCTCAATCTTTGTAAGAGAAATAAGTAAAAACACGAAATTTCAGGAATGGTTCAGTCAGAATGTAAGAATAGTTTCGATACTTACTCTGCTAGCAGGTGCTGACGTTGAGGTTGTTACTTTACTCGGATCCAAATTTGCCGGGTTGAAGGTGTTTTCTGCGCCCTTGTCAAAGACTGCACTGAATTATGTTTTCTGGGGTAGTACATTAAATCTGTTTATTGAAGACATTCCTCAATTGGTTATTCAGGTATGTGAAGCTAATGTTGTTGAATCAAAAAAATGACACAGGTTGTTATATGTTGATTATTGAATCTGTTATCATTTCCATAGATTCTGTATAGACTTTTAACAGTTTCATATGATACTATTCCATTTTTGTCATTGGTTATGAGCTCTATCATCTTGATTTCTAATATTATCGGACATGTTTATGGTGGATGTATAAGATGGAAAGAAAAGGAACGAGGCCACAGCATACCAAAAGAGGAAATACTCGCCATTACTGCTGATGTACAAGAGGATGAATGAGATAGACTGTGATTATTGTGAACGCGATGGGCTAACACCGAGGGTTCATGCTCGGCATCGCTTCATTATGGGCAATGTGTAGTTAACGAT